GGTTGTGGGTTTGATCTCCAGTCAGGGCACATATAAGCAACCAATGAATGCATCAATATGTGAAAACAACAGATTGATGTTTCTCTCTCTCTCTCTCTCTCTCTCTCTCTCTCTCTCTTTCAAAATCAATTTTGAAAAAGTCTCAACTTAATGTTACATCTGAGGCTCATTAGCAGAGCGATCCATGGCTATGAAAAAAGGGGGTGGGAGAAGGTGATCGGGGAGAGTATCCAGATATCAGTGCACAGTTTTGGGTTTCTTCTTAAATTCCTTGTTTCCAAATCAACCGGGATGGATTTATTTCTCTTCCTTTCTGCATCCCTACCCACAATGGGCGGGACAAGCTGACCCAAAGCGGGCTGTGGTAGAGGGAGGCAAGGTGACCAGACAGTTCACAAACTTGCTTATCAGACCGAAGGGACTTAGCATTGACCAAACACTGAACTATGACAGGAAGTGCTGACAAAGACACACAAAGCAATAACGATCGTGGAAACGCCGCAGGTCTGAGCAAACATCGGTGGCGCTGTGTACGGGCCTGGCCCAGAACAGGCCGAGCACAGGCGAGGCCCGGAGGGCACCGCTCCTGGGAAGAGCTGCTCTTTCACCATCGTCTGCCTTGTTACCAGTTGTGACATGTACCAGCCCCTTCATTCCACTGGCATTCGTTAGAACAACACTCACCACGGGCCAACCTGGAAGTGCCTGTGAGCCTGCCTGTAACTTTCCACTTGAAGGGAGAGGAGTAAGGAGTTCACAGGTCCCATTCCATACCTTCTCCAGAACAAGGATTCTAACGCGCAAACCGGGGGAAAATCTTTTCAAGAAGAAGGGGAAAAGGGGAAACTGAATTTCGGTTCTTAAATACCCCGGGGACATTGTGTTTCTTGGTCTTTGGCGTCAACTGAAAGGTGACAAGTAGGAACAATTATTGATCCATATTGGCTAATAGAGAAACCCACCCAGTCAAAGGACTAGGGACATGTTTCAGGATGGGCGTGGTCTGTCTTGGGCTGTATTCCTGGCTCCTAAACCCCTAACACGTGGTAGCCCTGAATTAATATTTGTTGGATGAATGAATGTAGAGATAGTTTTTTGTTAATCCTCACCTGAGGATGTTTTTTCCATCAATTTATTTTATTATTTTATTTTATTTTTAGAGAGAGTGGAGGAAAGAGGGAGGGAGGGAGAGAGAAGCATCACTGTGAGAGAGACACATTGATTGGTTGCCTCCTGTATGTGTCCTAGCCTGGGTTGGGGATCAAAGGTACCACCCAGATATGTGCCACTGACCACTGACCATTGACCAGGAATTGAGCCCTCTCATGCCAAAGCCCTGACCACTGAGCACAGCGGCCAGGGCTGTTTTTGAAGGGGCAAAGAAAGGTACTTTCCAAGGGATTTTCCCAAGTAGCTACACCTGAGCCGTTTAGTCCCCGGGTTGAGAATTAATGTGATTGCAATAAAGCCGGAGGTTGCGAAACTGAAGGAGGCACTCCCTCTCCGTTCGGTGCACGTTTTGATTCCGCAGTTGCTTGATCCTGAGAGTGATTGCCAGCATCAACATGGTGACCGAGGGGCCTCCCTCCCCCACCTTTCGTCTGGCCCTGCTCGCCCACTTGGGGCCTAAATATATATACTTATCTCTGCCTTGGGCTCGGCCCACTCACTGCTCTGAGGGGACAGGGAGACACAGAGGCAGCTCCTGCCAGGGGGAACCAGTAACCTCAGAGCCACACGTCGCCAGGCCGGCCTGGGGTCACTCAGCACTTACCGTGAACTTGGCGAGTCCGTCGTCGATACAACGCAGACAGTAGAGCCCGGTTCGCAGGGGGATTGTGAGCACTGAGGGGAACACACAAAAAGCGCTCCATAGCGGGCAGCTCCTCTCGGGTGACTATCCCTGGTCGCCGTGGTGACGAAGCTGCCGCTGCCCGCCAGCTCTGCAGGGAGAGTGGGCACCCACGTGGACTTGCAGAGAGAAGTTCGCAAAGCTGCCTGGGAGGCCAGTCTGAGCAATTCAGGGAGCTCAGGTGTGGCTGGAACTGCACGTTTTGCAGGCGCGGTGCTGGTAGTTTTCCTGCATTTTCTTTAATCTTGATCACAGACTATTCGTTTTTGTTTTTTTTGTTTTTTGTTTTTTAATTTCTATATTTTTGTCCTGTGTTTTAATTTTTAGAAATTTTTTTTTTTTACTTCTTGACCACAGACTATTCTACACCCCCCCAACCCCCAATATATTTTATTGATTATTTTTACAGAGAAGAAGGGAGAGAGGTAAACAACGATCGGCTGCCTCCTGCACACCCCTTATTGGGGATGTGCTCGCAACAAAGGTACATGCCCTTGGCCGGAATAAAATCTGGGACCCTCCAGTCCGCAGGCCGATGCTCTATCCACTGAGCCAAACCAGTTAGGGCTCCACAGACTTATTCTTAAGTCGATTATCTCGACTCATAGACAACAGATGGTTTTTAAGGATAGGTCCTATGCAACTTTTGGAACATACTTACACTAGGAAAAAAACTGCTTGTTGTTTCCTGCAATTCAAATGCACGTGGACAGGCCGAGTGTGAAGGCAGCGGACCTCGGAGGAGTGCGGTCCCACCAGGGACCCCGTGGGTCTCCAGGATGCAAGCCCGCGCTGGCAGCCTCCAAGGCTCAGTGCCCCGCCAGCAGGTGAACTCAGAGGCCAGCCTGGCTTCTTCTGGCTCCCACCCTCCTCCCGGCCTCTCCCCCTGGCAGCTCCTCCTGCTGCTTGCAGGCGCCGTGCACATGGCAGGAACGGAGGTGGCAGCTGGTGGTGCAGAGGGGAGAGGCAGGGTTTAATAATAAGACTTTATTTATGACTGGGAACAGTAAACTACTGCTCGTGGGCCAACTCCAGCCCCACTGCCTGTTTTTGTACATAAAGCTTTATTGGCACACGGCCACCCTCGGTCCTGACGCGCTATCTATGGCTACCTTCCCACTGTGGAGGCAGGGCTAAGTGGTTGCTGTGGGCAGAGTCTAAAATATTTTTACTCTCGGTGTTTTTCCAGGAAAAGTTTGCAGATCCCCCTCTGAACAATGCACCGTTCTCTATGGAAGCAGAGAGAAGGGTGGGATTCTCTATGGAATGCCGTTCCAGGTCACCCGGGCCAGGGCATCCCGGATTTTGAGATTTCATGGGTCAGAAAAATAAATAAAGATAAAGAAACCTGGGGAGCGGACCCAGGTGCTCCACGTTTTACTTTTGGGAAGTATCAACGACCTCATAAAAGAGGGCCGGGTGGCGATGTCACCCCAGCGACGGTGGAAGTGAGGAGCACGGGACACACTCGCTGTGTTGTCCTTTCTCCCACTTCTCCGAGGCGTGGCCAGACGTCACCACCGACCAGCCTCTGCTCACAGCTGCATCGTGGAGCCTCCAGTCCAGCCCCGCCTTTGACACCGGCTGCCGGCTCTGGGCAGGGAGACTCTGTGGACTCAGCAGGGGACCTGGCCCTCCTCTGGGACCCAGGCCGCTGCCCTTTGGCCAGGAGGGGGCTCCTCGGAGGCCAGTGATGGCCAGAGCCGGCCTGGGCATTCCTGCACTCCCAGGTCCAACTACATGGGTCTTGCTTGATTTAATCAATATATTCCCACCCCACTCCCTGATTTTAAAAAGATGTGTCCAGTGCAGAACATTTGGGGGGAAATGAGAAGAAAACAAAATTCATCTCTCCTCAGAGAGATAAAAGGTTTCACTGAGACTGAGGGAGAGCAAAAGCACCTTCCAATCTAAAAACCCTAAAGAGACAAAGCCCAGCATATCCCCCAAAACCAAAATGGAGCCTGGCTCATGACATGCAGCGATATATTTTGAAAGAATAACCAGACCTGCCCGGCCGGTGTGGCTCAGTGGTTGAGCATCAACCTATGAACCAGGAGGTCGTGGTTTCGTTCCTAGTCAAGGCACATGCCCTGGTTGCAGGCTCCATCCCCAGTAGGGCGTATGCAGAGAGCAGACGATCAACGATTCTCATCATTGATGTTTCTATCTCTCTCCCCTCTTTATGAAATAATATGAAAAAGAGACCTACTTCCAGCATCAAAATCCTTTGAATGAGTACGGAAGCGGAAATAAAAACAAAACAAAACCAAAACACAAACAACCTGGAAGATGAAGGGAAGAAAGGATACAAACAAAGGAAGACTAAAATGATTATTTACTAAGAATTGCAAATGCTCATTTTCTGTGCACACCACACAGTTCCCTTCTGTGCTCCTAGGACTTTGTGTAATTTTCAGGGACATGATGGTAGAGAGCTCATGCTTTCAGTTTATCAAAATAAACCTGTGTTCCCTTCCCCAGCCCTCAGTGAAAACTAAGACTGTACTCATCTTTATGAAGAAAGAAAGGGAGGAAGGGGGAGAAGGAAGGAGGACAGGAGCAAGAAGGAAGGAGAGAGAGAGAGAGAGAGAGAGAGAGAGAGAGAGAGAGAGAGAGAGAGAGAGAGAGAGAGAGAGCGCGCGCTTGTCCTTTGAATAGCTTTATGATAAATGCCCCACAAAATTGATTGGTTCCCTTTGTGGGAGACTTTGGTGTGTCAGGAAATGTCAACGTGACATAAGTGGAGCCTCTTTAAAGTGAAACCAGAACTGCCATGCCAGAGGAGCCAGCTGCCTGGTGTGCCTCTGCCTCAAATCTTTGGAACGTTAAAACGGGACAAAATAACCTCTGGATGGGGCCTAGGGCAACATTTGTCCTAAAAATCTGTTTGCAAAGATAACAAGAAAGCAGTTCCTACAACTAACTACTGGACTGAAAACGAAAACAGCGTTATTGGGAATTACCGTCGCTGTGTTATGTTCTCTGCACCGACAGACATGGCTTCCTCTTACTCCTGCGATGGCCACCCTTCCCTTCCTCATAAATCCCCGTTGCCTTTGTCTCCTAATCAGAACGCCATTTGGGCTCCCGTCTGAACCGGTGCGTCCCAAATAGCTCTTCCTCCAGAAGATGGACCTCCAGAAGGGCGTGTTGCCTCTCCTCTTGAAAGGCCTTTTTATTTTTTATTTTTTTATTTTTGGGTTAACAGGAACATTCGAGGATTAGGTCAGCTGAGACTCCTGCTGCCTGTCTGGTAGGGAGAACAACTTACAATAACAAACACGCGGCAGACGCGGCCGAATTACCCTCCCCGCAACCTGCACGTCTGCCGGGATGGCGCAGTGCTTCAATCCGCCCCGTTTCCAGGACCTCCTCCCGCCGCTGCGGGGACAGCACCTGAGGCGAACCTTTGGAAGGGCGTCTTGTCTCCAGCGTCAACCTCCGTCCCCCGAACCTCCGAGAAAGCTTCACTGTCGTCGGTGTCCTTGGCATGAACCACCGAAGGGTCTGGCACGTAGGGGGTTCAACGAGGCCTGCTTCCGGGCGCGGGGAGTTGATGGTTTTGAAGAAAGGGTGTTTCCTGGGACCATCTGACTTTTCTCTGGGAAGAAAGGAGGTGCTCAGCCCGACCCAGTAACAAACCCAAGAGGAACCGTCCCAACAATACAAGGGTGCCGCGTGCTTTTCCTGGAACATAGGTCAATGGCCAAGACAATAGAGCGACACAAAAAAATCATTTACAACCCTAACGGGTTTGGCTCAGTGGATAGAGCGTCGGGTCCCGGGTTTGATTCCGGTCAAGGCATGTACCTTGGTTGCGGGCACATCCCCAGTGGGGGGTGTGCAGGAGGCAACTGATCTATGTTTCTCTCTCATCAATGTTTCTAACTCTATCCCTCTCCCTTTCTCTCTGTAAAAAATCAAGAATAATAATAATAATAATAATAATAATAAAAAGAATTGCTGAAACTGGTTTGGCTCAGTGGATAGAGTGTCGGCTTGCGGACTGAGGGGTCCCAGGTTCGATTCCGGTCAAGGCATGTACCTTGGTTGTGGGCACATCCCCAGCGGTGGGTGTGCAGGAGGCAGTTGATTGATGTTTCTAACTCTCTACCCCTCTCCCTTTCTCTCTGTAAAAAAATCAATAATAAAAAAAAGAATCATTTACAAAAATGAGGACTTTAAAAATCACCCACAATTCCAGCCTATGCAGATCTTAGCATTTTTATTGTTTGCAGACAGCCTTCACACATAGATATGATTTGCTAAGAATCTAGCAGTTGACAGGACTTTCATTCTTGGTATTTCCATGAAACACCAGCAAACATCACTGCTTGCCTGCAACTTCCAGTCTTCACCTCTTGCTCTGCCCTTCAGGGTCACAGAGAAGAAGTTAATGTCTATTTCCACATTACAACCACTCACATTTTAAAAGACCACACTCACATCTCACTCATCATAGAACATGATTTCTAGGAGCCCACTTAATCCTCACCCCCTCCCCAACCTCCTAACAGGCAAAATAATCTTTAAGAACTTAAAATAAATCCATTCGTAATTGTCAGTAGCATGAATGAGCATATGTTTGGTATTATTAGCATATGTTTGATAACAAATAAACATATCAAGACTATGTTTATTTGTTATCAAATCTTCCTTCCTTATGCTAGAAATTATTCCAGTAATTGCCCCAGAATAGGGGGGAAATGTACGATATGTTCCCAACTGTGTAACCTTTTCTATTATTTACCTGTTGCTGTCTAACAAATTGCCCCAACATTTAGTGGCTTACAACAATAAACATTAATTAATCTCACAGTTTTTGTGGGTCAAGAATGTAGACATGGCTTAACTGGGTGCCCCTGGCTTGAAGTCTCTTGGGAGGTTGCAGTACAGCTGTTGGTCAGGGCCGTGGTCTCATCTGAAGGTTCACCTGGGGTTGGGGGAAGATCTCTTTCTAAGCTCACTCATATAATTATTGGAAAGTCTCCATCCCTCATCATGTGAGCCTCTCCATAGGGTTTCCTTGTAACATTGTCACTGGTTATCCCCAGGGCAAATGATCAGGGAGGGGTAAAGGGTAGGTAGAGTCTAAGACAGAAGGCACAGTCTTTTTATTAGTTATCTTGGAAATGAACATCTCATCATTCTGCCATATTCTATTTGTTAGAAACAAGACAGAAAGCCCAGCTCACCCCTCAGAGATTTCCCATCATGTCACATGATTACTGAAGCACATTCTGCCCCATAATATGTCTAGAGTCTAAACATAATAAGGATGTTACTACTAATAATGGCAATAATGAACATTTATTCAGAGCCTACTCTCAGCTAACATGTTAAATCCTTCACTTATGTTGTTGTTCTGTGACTCGGGCCTAGTCCCATCCAGAAGGGCCATCCAGGCCTCCCTGGACTTTCCCCATTACAACCCTACTGAAAAGACAGGTATGGAGAGCTTCATCCTGAGATTACTACAAGGTTTCTCTTTTCTTCCAAAGGCCTCCAAGTTTCCGTCAATGGAAAGAAAGGAAAATGCAGGCTTGCCTTCTATGAGAATCCACTGCCCAATACCTGTGTGGTTTATATCCTGTAGAGTAGAAGCCTTGAGGGAGGGTTACTGCGATGAACTGAAGCTTCCCCCAGAATGTACACACTCACTTTTAATAATCATAAAGGCAGTGTTTATTAAAATACATTTTACTTTCAAAATTGAGCTATCAGCTATTAAAGTGTGTATACTTTTTTGGGGGGGGTTACTATAAAAATTGTTAGTTAGCTGTATTGAGGTATAATTTACACAGCACTCGTCACCGTGTTAAGGTATCAGAGAGACTGGGTGGTGGGTTTCAGATAGCTTTTAAATGTGGTGGAACAAGGATAGAACGAGAATTCCATCCACGGAGATCAGGAATGAGCCCCGGGCCTGTGTGTCTCACAGAGAACAAAGGGCTTGGAATGGGCCCAGGTGCCAGGAGGAAGGAATCTGAGCCACATGATGGCCGAGGGCAGGCACGACCACACTGCCCCAGAGGTCCAGAGGGCGCCTTCCACTCACTCTGAGCAGCTGTAACGTGGAGAAACCGGATGGCCTGCGCTCGTCTGTCAGGATGGCTGAATGCAGCCCTTTTGCAACTTGTCACAAAAGACAAGGACCGAGGAACCACGTGGAGGCTTTCTTTAAGGTTCTTCAAGAACTCCAACCAGCCGGGACTGGTTTGGCTCAGTGGATAGAGCATCGGCCTGCGGACTGAAAGGTCCCAGGTTCGATTCCGGTCAAGGGCATGTACGTTGGTTGCGGGCGCATCCCAAGTAGGGGGTGTGCAAGAGGCAGCTGTTTGATGATTCTCTCTCATTGATGTTTCTAACTCTCTATCCCTCTCTCTTCCTCTCTATAAAAAATCAATAAAATATATTTAAAAAATAAAATAAAATGAAAAGAATTTCAACCAGAGACCTCTGGAAGGCAGGGCCATGCCTTATATCTATGGGGGAGAGACGATTCCATGATGTGACCAGTGCCTGACACTGAGGGACCTGCCAGCTAGATCCTGGCCAAACATTGCCTCTGGAAACTCCTCTCAGAGACTGTCTGATGGACCCCACCCCTAGCCCCCAGGTATGCCCCAGGCAAGCATATAAGGCATTTCCTCCTAATTTGGGACTGGTCACCCCAGTATCCCACCCACCCTGCCCTGTACTAAATAACCCTTATCACCTGCACGGGGATATCCATGGCATCTTGCCACCGCCCCAGACATGCCTCGTATGTAAGTTAGGGATAAATTCTTGATGTAATGTGAGAATGGTCTGCCTGCAGCTTTCTCGGCCTCTGGGCCTGGGAATTTACATACCAATGTCCTTTCCCAGGGGGTGTCTGTGTTTGCAGATGCTGACCACGGAAGCGGCGGCTTCCCCACCTCCACGCCTTGCCCTCCGTGTCTGGGCCACCACAAAGCTGGTCACTCCGATCCACTTCACCTGAGACCTGTGGTTAGACATCGCAGGAAGATGGCTTTGATCTGGGCAGGGCTCCTCTGAGCCGTCTCCTCTTTCGTAACAGCCAGCCCGGCAGCTGCAGGGAGACGTCCCCAGCCCGCTGGAGTGGGATCTATTTCTGAGCATTAACAGGGGCTCTTGGTCACTGATTCCCACACGGAGATTATAACGGCTTTTCTCACACCATCCAATGACACTAAGATACCGGCTGCCCATACACCAGGACCACACTGTGGGGTTGGGTCTGCCAAGGACAGTGGGCGTTAGCCTGAACCTGCGGGTGGGGGGCAGATGGGGAGGTGGGGGGCGGGGCGGGGGAGGGAAGCACTGTCGTCAGACAAGTGCATGGCATTTGCTCTTGCTCTGCTGCAGGGCCGATCAGAATGAAACCTGCAAAATACTTACATGACCTTCATCTTTGATTTTATTGGAAAACACCATGGTTTGGTCCCTCCATCTCCCTTACCCTCTAGTAATCACCTTACGGCTATCTGTGTCTATGAGGTGGTTTTTTTTTTAAATCCCTTCACCTTTTTCACCCAGACCCCGCCCCCAAACCCACTCCCTTCTGACAGCTGTTTGTTCTCTATCTATGAGTCTGTTTCTATTTTGTTTGTTAGTTTATTTTTGTTCATCAGATTCCACTTCAGTTTATTTTAAATGCTCGTAGGCACACTTGACCTCTCTGCTATGTAACATGCTCTCTAGGCATTCGCTCTGTTCTGAAGGACTTCCGCAAAATTAACCAAATTTGAGTGAAATGTTTACAGCATTAAGATTTTTTAAAAATTGATTTTAGAGACAGAGGAAGGGAGAGGGGGAGAAAAACGTCGATATGAATGAATATCGATAGAGCATGGATCCCCCGCCTCCTGCACGCCCCCCACTGGGGATTGAACCGGCAACCTTTGGTGCATGGGAAGATGCTCAACCGACGGAGCCACGCTGCTGACCGGGACACGAATGAATTTTTTTAAAACCCATGAAGAGTTGGAATGAAAATATTGGAAGGCTTTCTTTTTTTCACTGAACAGCTGGTTTTTACATGTCTCTTCTCTAACGCTGTAAACAGTTATATTCAAAACAGTCACAACAACATATGCTTTATGAAAAGGTTTGATGGAGCAGCTCAGGCAACGGTTTAGTGCTTTAAGGTGGCATTTTCTTGAAGAAGTTTATCAACCTCTGATTTTACAGCCCCGACGTGTGCTGGTGAAGGACTGAGATAGGGTTTCAAACGCCCCCGGTGGGTAGCACTTCCTCTGGGGAAGCCATCTAAGGAGATGGCTCCCCGGGGTATGGTGTCAGTGGGCTCTCGCCTTGTCAGGGGGATCACGTTGCAGGTTATATAAATGTCTCATCACTACCTTGTACACCGGAAACTAATTCAGTGTTGTACTTCAACTGTAAATGAAAAATCCATCCTAAAAAATGAAAATAAAATAAAATAAAGGGACTGTTCCCTTCCCCCACTGCCATGGCCAGTGTGGGTGTGCCCTTGGATACTCAAGAACCAGATGGTAGCTGAAACCGGTTTGGCTCAGTGGATAGAGCGTGGACTGAAAGGTCCCAGGTTCAATTCTGGTCAAGGGCATGTACCTTGGTTGCAGGCACATCCCTGAGGGGGTGTGTGCAGGAGGCAGCTGATCAATGCTTCTCTCTCATCGACGTTTCTAGCTCTCTATCTTTCTCCCTTCCTCTCTGTGGAAAATCAATAATATATATATATATGTGTGTATATATATGTGTGTGTATATATATATATATATATATATGAACCAGGTGGTAGAGACGGTCGGTGGTCACCACATCCAGGTCTCTCCTTCCAGGGCACACAGAAGACAACACCGGCCAGCCCCGCCCCCCCCCCCCCCCCCCCCCTTTAGCTAGGGCCCAAGGAACGTCCTGGCCATTAGAAGTGAAGTGTGAAGCGGGCCACTTCCCGGCTCAGGCAGCACAGAGCTCCCCCCGGGTTCTCTTCTCGGGCCACAGTGCCTGGAAGCCACCTGTTCCCACTGAGCTGTAAGATGGATGCAGCCACGCCCAGCCAGTGTGGCTCAGTGGTTGAGCGTCAACCTATGAACCAGGAGGCCACGGTTTGATTCCCGGTCACGGCACATGCCTGGGTTTTGGGCTTGATTCCTAATTGGGGGAGGGGGGGCATGCAGGAGGCAGCCAATCAATAACTCTCATCATTGATTTTCTTCTCTCCCTTTCCCTTCCTCTCTGAAAACAATAAAAATATATATTAAAAAAAGAAAAAGAAAAAGAAAAAGAAAAAGATGGAAGCAGCCGGGATCTCTGAGCCACTGCTCAGCAGGGAGATGCCCGCTGTGTTAGCCAGGGTTCTCCAGAGGGGCAGAGCCAAAGGATGTCGAAAGGATCCAGAATGCACCACAGTGCCATGAAAGCTATCTTGAGCTAAGGGCAGTTGAGAGTCAACAGATGCACATGTGCATAAAAGCAGAGCCCCCTAAAAGAACTCAACTCATCAATCCCCTCCCCCGGGCATTTCAGGAGTTTTGGAACCAGGCGAGATGGACTCTTATTGCCAGTGACAGAAATAAACACCGCGCCAAAAATAGATATTGTCACAAAACTATCGCTTCTCCCATCTATTCTCCCGAGGGCCCGCCTATTTGTCCGAAAAGACATTTCTTCTCCACAGTGCCCACCCCCACCAGCACTAAGAAGTCATTTGTTTTGCCGAAACCAGTTTGGCTCAGTGGTAGAGCGTCGGTCTGCGGAATGAAAGGTCCCAGGTTTGATTCCGGTCAAGGGCATGGTCATTGGTTGTAGGCACATTCCCGGTAGGGGGTGTGCAGGAGGCCATTGGTCGATGTTTCTGTCTCATCGATGTTTCTAGCTCTCTATCTCTCTCCCTTCCTCTCTGTGAAAAATCAATAAAATATATTTAAAAAAGAAAAAGAAAAAGGAAGTCATTTGTTTGCCTATCCATGCCCTTCTCCTCCTCCCGTTCCCCTCTTAAGAGGGAACAGAAGCCCCTAATTCTAACCACCTTCTACTCACATCTGTCTGTGAACTCCTGCGTACGTACATAAAGGAAAATGTCTTTTGCCAGTTCAGTTTGCAGGTCTCTCCATTCTTGAACGTAAGAGGGTAGAGAAAAATATTTTTTCCTGGTGGAGGCTTGGCAAGTCCCAATTCTTTAAGGTAAGCTATCAGGGGAGCCAGGGAGTAGGTGCAGTTCAAGTCCCAAGCTAGGTTTTCTGGGAGAATTCTCTCTTCTCAGAGGCCTTCAACTGATTGGGTGAGGCCCATCCACATTATGAAGCATAATCTTTACTGAAAGCCTACTGATTTATATGTTAATCTCATTTTGAGAAATATTTGCAGAAACATCGAGTGGGGAGTGGGCCTAACCAGGGGTCCTCAAACTTTTTAAAGTGGGGGCCAGATCACGGTCCCTCAGAGAGCTGGAGGGCCGGACTATATGAACTACTAATTCCTACTGTAACACCTTGGCTGTGCTCACTGCCCAAAAAACCTGGCGGGCCGGATTAGACTCCTCTGCGGGCCGCATGGCCGTAGTTTGAAGACCCCTGGTAAGCCGTCAGTTGGACATCCCCCTGAGGGCTCCTGGACTGCTAAAGGGCGCAGGCTGGGCTGAGGGACCCTCAAGTGCATGAGTGTCATGCACTGGGCCTCTAGTAGGACAATAATAACACAATCCCAAAGCTTTGTTATTAATCCACAACATTCTCCAAATGCCTGTGGACAGTGCTGACATCACGAATCATCTCTATTACATGGTAATTTACCTGCTTCCTACTCGTTGCCCTGGGTTCTTAGCCAAAAGAGTCTGCATGTGCCTGTGGCTTCCTCTGTGAAGTTGTCATGCTGGAATCTGACCTCCTCTTGCAGGGTTCTTCGCTTTAAATCCTCTTTACTGACTTTTTCCTTGTAATCTTTGAATGGTATTCTTCCAGCAACCATTTCATAGATACCGCATCCCATCGCAAACCAGTCCACGGGGTAGGAGTAACTCACTTTTCCCATTAGGATTCCAGGCGCCATGTAACCATTGGTTCCAGCCTATAACACCCAAACAAAACCAAAACAAAATGTGAGTGGAACAGAAGTGGTTGATTGTCTATCCAATACCCATTCTCCTCTTCTTGTCTTGTTAAGGGGCTTATTAATTTACTAGAGGCCCAATGCACGAAATTCGTGCAAGAGTAGGCCTTGCTTCCCCGGGCTGCTGGCACCGGCTTCTCTCTGGCACCTCTGATCCAAGCTTGCTTCCCTCCGGCCGCCTGCAGGCACCCAGGACCTGGGCTTCCCTTGCAGCCCCAGCTTCATCCAGAAGAAAGTCCAGTGTAATTAGCATATTATGCTTTTATTATTATAGATTTGGCATGACATTGTGCCTAACCCATTCTACTCCCTGCTTTCCCAGCAGGCTCTGGGCAGCCAGGGCAGGACATGAGATCCATTGGGCCAATGACATATGAAAAGGACTGGGCTGAAGTGTGCTATGACAGGGACAATGTGGCTGCTCTTGAAGAGAGAAAACCACTTGCCCTCTCTTAGTCTCCTCACCTCATCTTCTTCTTCTTTTTTTTTTTATATATATATTTTATTGATTTTTTTTACAGAGAGGAAGAGAGAGGGACAGAGAGCCAGAAACATCGATGAGAAAGAAACATCGACCAGCTGCCTCCTGCACCCCCCACCCCTCACTGGGGATGTGCCCGCAACCAATGTACATGCCCTTGACCGGAATCGAACCTGGGACCTTTCAGTCCGCAGACCAATGCTCTACCACTGAGCCAAACTGGTTTCGGCCTCACCTCATTTTTAAAGGTGAAAAGTTCAAGCGGGTTCTCTAAAACCCCTAAGCTCTGCCTTTGTTTTATTTATTTATTAAACAAGTTTTCTCTTTTAAAAAATTGATTTTAAAGAGAGGAAGAGAGAGATAGAGAAAAACATCAATGTGAGAAACATTGATCGGTGGCCTCCCACACGTGCCCCGATGGGTGACCAAACCTGAAACCCTGGTATGCACCCTGACTGGGGATGGAACCTGTCACCCTTCCGTCCACAGAAGGATGTTCCATCCACCGGAGCCACACCAGCCAGGCCTGTCTGTTTCACATCACAGGTAACAGGAAATTAGATGCATTATTTTTTTTTTAAGGTTGTAAGGTTGAGCACATCATTGCTAATTTTGAATGTTCTAGTCTATGCTGTTTCCTACTCTATTCGCTATGCAGTAGTATTGACATCACATATCTTGGTCTGTCTGTCTCTGCTTTAAAAAATTAACAGCCGTTTAGAAAATCGCACACATGAAACCTTATTTAACATGCATGACCATATAATGTAGGCACACCTCTACTGGCAATATATACCAAATGACCACTGTGTTAAAAAATTTATATATATGTGAAATGCACATAACACAAAATTTACCATCTTAGTCATTTTTAAATGTACAGCCCAAGAGAATAAAGAACATTCACATCACTGCAATGAATCACCAGAACGCTTTTCATCTTGCAAAACTGAAACTCTAATATCCATTAAACAAAAATCCCACAGCCCCGGGCAACCACCATCCTACTTTCTGTCTCTATGAATGCGAATACTCTAGGGACCTTACATAACTGGAATCATACAGTGTTTGTCGTTTATTGTGACTGTGTGTGATTTTAGTACATTCATTCATTCAACAAAAATTTAACAAATACCTACAACATACCTTATAATGATTAAACTATGTATTTACATGATAATATGTTTTTCCCAAAACTAAATAGCTTTTGGTTAAAGCATAATATATAACTTTTATAGCAATTAAAAATGCAAACAGTCCTAACGGGTTTGGCTCAGTGGATAGAGTGTTGGCCTGCAGACTGAAGGGTCCTGGGTTTGATTCCGGTCAAGGGCATGTATCTTGATTGCGGGCACATCCCCAGTAGGAGGTGTGCAGGAGGCAGCTGATGGATGTTTCTCTTTCATCGATGTTTTTGACTCTCTACCCCTCTCCCTTCCTCTCTGTAAAATATCAATAAATTTTTTAAATGTAAACAAAAAGACCTTAAAGTGATAATAAGCTTATATTAGAGCAGTAAGACTTAGAGCAATAGAAAATTCAATGTATCAACTGTTCCTGTCCTTCAACCGGGTTACTTAGCTTTGCAGTATACTGTACCTCTAAGAAATGACCCAGAAGGAAGAAAAAGGGATCTATTTTGAGATGTTCTTAGTTCCATTATTCATCATGGTCACAAGCTAGAAACACCCACAATGACCATCAATAAAAACAATAGACCAGAGACTAGTGTTAATACCAAGACATGTATATTCACGCCCCACACTGGGCATGGAGTCCGCAACCTCGGGCATGGACCCTGCCTGGGAATCAGACCGCGACTTCCTGGTTCATAGGTCGACACTCAACCACTGAGCCATGCTGGCCAGACAAACATATATGTTTTTTGTTTGCACAGTGTATGTCAATGCCTTAGGATACTAAATTTGTAATAATTTTTACATGGGTATCAGGAAACAAAATTAAGTGACCCAAGCACTAATGAGGAGTAATTAGAGGTGCAAGAAAACTCTGGAAGTGGCAGGGGTCTGACAGGCTGGCATGAGTCAGCACGCACTGCTGTTTTCACAGCAGCAGCCAGCGTGTGTGTAGTATGTAATTTGGGTGAGCGTGTATTCCAGTTTGCCCGGGACGGTCCCGGTTTGCATCTGTTGTTCTGGTGTCTTGCCTGGTTTTGCATTTGCCTGGACAAAAGGGTATAACTGAGGCCCAGGATATACCTACTCATCTTTGTAGCCAAACCAGGTGCTTACTGCCTCCCTTGGTGCAAGCCCAACAAGACGCTGTGAATAAACCGCAGCAAACGCTGGTGACTAGATGTTTTCCGTTCACTATGGAGCCGTTCCCTGCGGTGAGGTCTAGAGATACCAAGAGATATAAGGCCTGGCGCCTGCCCTTAGGAACTTACAGGCTGGTGGAGACAGACAGGTCAAAAGGTTAATTCAATAAAGTGGGTAAATGCCATAATGGGAGGAAAAAGCAAGCACAGGGGAGAGACCGCTATCCAGCTAACGGGCCTGTGTAAGAGATGAAGTCAGGGAAAGTGTGAGGTGCTCAGGGACCTTGGAAGATCTTTAAGGAAGCTGAGATTCTGAAATACAAGGTCTATGGGATGCGATGGTGGGAGGGGAGAAGGGAAGGGGGAGGTGGATGAGTCTGAGAAATGCTTTAAGTCAAAGTAGTAAAAGGCAATCCTAGTCTTCCCTTTCTTTTGTATCTTTTTTAGAGGCCAGGAGGCTAAGTACTCCACCTCCCAGCATCCTTTGCACCCAGGGTGGTCATGTGATATGAGCAAGGTGAAGGTGCTGGGGGTTTGGGGGGAAAGGAAGGGAGCTTACTATAAATACATAAAAGATATGATGGATTAAAGGACGGATAACAGACGTAAACTGGGCAAACAAATATATGGTCACCCAAATGACATATTATATGTACTGCTCCTGTTCCCCTGCCCACTCCCACTGCCCCACAATATCCTAGACCTCGCATTCTTTATAAGTATTTCACCATGAATCTCTAAAAGATAAAGTCATTAAAACAAATCCAAAAAACCAATCACTATAATACCATTCTCTCATGTAAATCACAATAATTCTTTAATATTTTCAAATATCTGGATATGTTAATGCTGTCCCAATTGTCCTATATATTTGTCTTCTAAACAGTTTAAGTTTGGATTCCAATAGCCCATATGATTGATTGATAGGTCTCTTAAATCTCTGTGAATATATAAATTCTTCCTTTGTCTGTTACCACCCCTTGCAAGTTTTTATTGGAAAAATTTGGCTAAACTGTAGAGTTTGCCACAGACATGTTTTGCTGACTGTACCTTGGTGGTACCAGTTACATGTTCCTCTGTACTGTGTATTTCCTGTGCATTGATAGCTATATCTAGATTCTGGAGGCTTAATTTTTCTACTGAGCTTTTCATTTCTGCAAATATGTTTTTATTCATTCTTTATTTTTTAAATGGATTTATTTGAGAGAGAGAGAAACATTGATTTGTTGTTCCACTTATTTATGCATTCATTGGTTGATTTCTTGTATGTGCCCTGACCGGGATTGGAACCCTGACATTGGCATTTTGGACAATCCTCTAACAACTGAGCTACCCAGCAAGGGCTACAATTATGCTTTTATTAACATATAATTAGCATAGAATAATGTGCACAGGTCTATTTACTCAGCTAAATAAATTTTGATAATACTCCCACATAAATGCCACCTAAACAAGATGTAGAACAGTTTCATCTAAGAAAGTACCCTGTGCCCCTCTCTAGTCCATTCTCCTCCCAGGCCAACACTTCCTGATTCCTGTCACCATATATTTGTTTTGTTGGTTCTTCGATTTCAAATAAATGACATTGAATGGCAGATACGTTTTTGTGTCTGGCTTCTTTTTCCCCCTCCTTTTTTTAATTGTTGACACTATTACAGATATCTTCATCTCACCACACCGCCCCCCCCCCCTTGTTTTGTGACTTTTTTTTACTGTTTTTGAGATTTACCCATGTTGTTCTACAAACATATCAGGTTGGCTTTTTTTTTGTTTGTTTTTGTTTTTTTACTTTGCAAATACCCTTGTTGTTTTTCTCTGAGTGTTCCTTGCCTTATAGCATTTGTTCTTGTTTCATGGATGCAATATCTTCTCTTAAATCTCAAAGGATATTACGTATGTTTTTTAAAATAATGGTCTCTTCTACTTTCTGCATTGTTCCTGTTTTCTACAAGTTTCTTCTGTTTTCTTAAAAAAGAAAGAAAGAAAATATTATTTCAGAGAAAAGGGAAGAGGGATTGGCTGCCTCCTGCACACCCTCTACTGGGGATCCAGCCTGCAACCTGGGCATGTGCCCTGACCAGAACAGAACTGTGACCTCTGGTTCAGAGGTCGATGCTCAGCCACTGAGCCACACCAACCTGGATCTTCCTTTCTTTTTTATTTTCATTGCATTTTATTTTAGAGTTTTTTGAAATGATA